GGTGCTGGGGTCTTAGGGGGAGGTGCAGAGCTGCCCCCGGCAGATGTGGGGTTCTTGGCCTGCCCAGAGCGTCTGGAAGGGAACAGAGAAGGGAATGCAGTCGGCAGCCCCCAAGAAACTCAAATCCTCCTCTTTGGGTATCTGTGCTCAGTGAGCTAAGCACATACATAACTTCCCTGACGCTCTGTTTCCTCTTTTCTCTGGGTCTGTCTGCCTCTCTCCCTGAGTCTCTATCCCCTCTTTCTGGGTCTCTGTCCCCATCTCTCTGTTTGTTTGCTTGTTTGTTTTGAGTTGGAGTCTCACTCTGTCACCCAGACTGGAGTGCAGTAGCCACTGCCAGCCACCACAGCCTTGACGTGCTGGGCTCCAGTGATCTTCCGCCTCAGCCTTCCAAGTAGCTGGAAGTACAGGCGTGCGCTACCACACCCGGCTAATTTTTTGATTTATTGTAGAGATGAGGTCTCGCCAAGTTGCTCAGGCAGGTCTCGAACCCACGGGCTCAGGCAATCCACTCACCTCAGCCTCCCAAGGCGCGGGATTACAGGCTGAGCCACCGAGACCGGCTTGTCCCCATCTCTCTGTGCCTCTGTCCTCCTCTCTCTGGGTCTCTGTCCCTCTCTCTGGGTCTCTGTCCCCCTCCCCCTGGGTCTCTGTCCCCAACACTCTGGGTCTGTGTCCCCATCTTTTGGGGTTTATCTCTGAGTCTCTCTCTCTCTCTCTCTCTCTCTCTCTCTCTGGGTCTCTGTTTCCCCCATCTCTTTGAGTTTGTCTCTCTCTGGGCCTCTGTGTCCTCCTCTCTTTGGATCTCTCTGTCCCTCTCTCCAGGTCTCTGTCTCTCTCTCTCTGGGTCTCTGTCTCCCTCCCGGTGGGTCTCTGTCCCCCTCTCTCTGGATCTCTGTCTCCATCTCTGTGGGTCTCTGTCCCCTCTCTTTGGGTCTGTTTCCCTCCCCAGGTCTCAGCCCCCACCTCTACGTCCCCACCCCCAACCCCACTTCCCCCTCTCTCACACGCACCATCCCCATCCTGTGGCCCTGTCTGCACCTGTCCCCCAGGGTAGGTACCTGACTGGCACTGGGGGCCGGTGCCAGGGTTTCCGAGCACAGACCCTCACGTAATCCTTCTTGTTGACATTTTCCAGGAACTTTACATAGAGGCGCTGGTACCGATTTTTTGCATCCCCAAAATACCCCAAATACTACAGAGGAAAAGAGGCAATGAGGAGGGACATCCTTCAGGCTCCCAGCCAGGCAGTCCCACACCCACGTCGCCCACCCTGCCTGGACGGGACCCCCTTCCAGCTGCACCTGAGAGCAAAAGTGAGTCAGAGCCACGCATGAGGGGAACCCTGGCTCCTAGACACCCCTCCCTGGGGCCCCCAAGTCCTCTGTCCCCTTTGTAGACTCACGTTACTGGTGGCGCAGAACTGCCTCTGGCCGTCCTTAATCTCCGGGGTGAACTTCTGCAGTAGAGCCTTCTGGACGCGCCAGATGGGTGGGGGCTCTCGTCCCGTCTGCAATGCCAGCTGGGGAGGAGGGGCAAGGTGAGGCCAGAGGGGTCAGCCCCTATTCCAGCACCTTATCCCCCATTTTCCCACCCCTCATCCCCTTAGAGAAAAGGCATTGTCATCAACAAGCCTCAGCCATCCACTAACACGTATCTTCTGGCCCCATGATGTGCTCAGCCCTGGGTACAGCTGGAGCCCAGCCCTATCCCCTGGTCTCCGGCCCACCCAATGTCCTTGATCACTCTACTGCTTGTTTTCTGCTACAGGGTTTTAGTCATGATCACTTTATGCTGTGATGGTCTAAAGCTTCTTACGTGACACAGGCAGGATAAGGATGACGCTTGAGCACCCACCATGTGCTGAACATGGGGGCTGTGGTGAGCCAGACCCACTGCTGTCATCTCAATGTTTGTGTACCCCCCCAAATTCCTATGGCAAAATCCAACCCTCAGAGTGATGGTGTCAGGAGATGAGGCCTTCGGGGGGTGATCTGGTCATGAAGATGGAGCCCTCAAGAATGGGGTTAGTGCCCTTATCAAAGAGGCCCCCAGGCTAGGTACAGTGGCTCATGCTTGTAATCCCAGCACACTGGGAGACCAAAGTGGGAGGATCATTTGAGCCCAGGAGTTCGAGACTAGCCTAGGCAACAGAGCGAGACTCTATCTCTAAAAAAAATTTAAAAATCTAGCACACGCCTGAAGTTCCAGCTACTTGGAAGGCTGAGGTGGAAGGATAGCTTGAGCCCAGCAGGTCGAGGCTGCTCTGGCCGTGAGTGTGCCACTGTACTCTAGCCTGGGTGACAGAGTGAGATTCCGACTCAAAAGAAAAAAAAAATTTAAAAATCAGCCAGGTGTGGTGGCATGAGCCTGTAGTCTCATCTACTGGGAAGGCTTAGGTGGGAGGATCGCCTGAGACCAAGAGGTCGATCGAGAATGTGGTGAGCGGTGATTGTGCCACTGCATTCCAGCCTGGGCGACAGAGTGAGAGCCCGACTCAGAATAAATGAATAAGGTCCCAGAGGGCTGCTTTGCCCCTTCCACTGAACGAGGACACAGTCAGAAGGTGCCTTGTATGAACCAGGAAACAGCCCTTCACCATACGCTGAATCTGCTGGCAACCTGGACTTTCCTGCTTCCAGAGCTGTGAGAGAGAAATTTCTGTTGCATATAAGCCACCCAGTCTTTGGTTTTCTGGGCAGCCTGAAGGCTCGAAGACCGACGAAGCCTTTTTCTGGGGCCTTTATCAGAGGCAACCAGATGAGCAAATAAACAAAATAGGGTGAGTCTGTGGCTCGCGCCGAGAGGCAGGTGACAGGTTACCTGAGACCATTTCATCAGTATATCCACAGTGGGGAAGACACAGTGATAGAAGGGTTACCCACTCCTGCTACCCCAACACACTCAGAGATCCCCGCCATCTATGCATGCCCCAGCTGGGTACTGGGAGCCAACGGAGGTGAGTCAGACTCAGTATCTGACCTTGGGGAGTGAAGGAACAGTATAAGAGCCAGACACGGATATAAAAATTAATAGTACACATAATAAATGTCCTGATGCCAATTCCCTGGACACTGTGGAAGACCAGAGACATGACCTCGATTCAAACTGAATCCAAGAATGCTTCTTGGAAGAGGTGAAAGATGCCAGAGTCCCTGGAAGGAACTGTCTTTAAGAGGGGCCAGTCCAGGTCGGGTGCAGTGGCTCAAGCCTGTATTCACAGTACTTTGGGAGGCCGAGGTGAGAGGCCTGCCTGAGTCCATGGGTTTGAGACCAGCCCGGGCAACTTGGTGAGACCTCATCTCTACAATAAATCAAAAAATTAGCCGGGCATGGTGGCACACATCTGTAGTTCCAGCTACTTGGAAGGCTAAAGTGGAAGGCTCACCCGAGCCCAGCAGGTTGAGACTGCAGTGGCCATGAGCAGTGTGCCACTGTACTCCAGCCTGGGCAACAGAGTGAGACTCCATTTCAAGAAAAAAAAAAAAGGCCGGGTTCGGTGGCTCAGCCTGCAATTCCAGCACTTTGGGAGGCCGAGATGAGTGGATTGCCTGAGCTTACAGATTCAAGACCCACCTGGGCAACTTGGCGAGACCTCATCTCTACAATAAATCAAAAATTAGCCAGGCATGGTAGCACGCGCCTGTAGTTCCAGCTACTTGGAAGGCTGAGGCGGAAGGATTGCCGGAGCCCAGCAAGTGGAGGCTGTGGTGGCTGGGAGCGTGCCACTGCACTCCAGTCTAGGTGACAGAGTGAGACTCCAACTCAAGAAAAAAAGAATAAAAAAAAAAAAGAGGGACCAGTCCAGACAAGAGCAACTGGCAGGTACAGATAAGTAAAGAATAAAAACAGTGAGAACACTGGGTGCAGTGGCTCATACCTGTAATCCCGCCACTTTGGGAGGTGGAGGTAAGAGGACTGCCTGAGCCTATAGGTTCAAGGCCAGCTTGGATAACATGGTGAGATCTAGTCTCTACAATAAATTTTAAAAAATTAGCCAGGCATGGTGGTGTACGCCTGTAGTTCCAGCTACTTGGAATGCTGAGACAAAAGGATCTCCAAGCCGGGCCCAGTGGCTCAGCCTGTAATCCTGCGCCTTTGGGAGGCAGAGGTGAGTGGATTGCCTGAGCCTGCAGGTTCGTGACCCGCCTGGGCCACTTGGCGAGACCTCATCTCTACAATAAATAAAAAATTAGCCATGCCGGGCTCGGTGGCTCAGCCTGTGATCCCATGCCTTTGGGAGGTTGAGCCCGCAGGGTTCGAGACCTGCCTGGGCAGGCGAGACCTCATCTCTACAATAAATAAAAAAATTAGACGGGTGTGGTAGCGCGTGCCTGTAGTTCCAGTTACTTGGAAGGCTGAGGCGGAAGGATTGCTGGAGCCCAACAGGTCGAGGCTGCGGTGGCCGGGAGCGGCCACTGCACTCCAGTCTGGGTGACAGAGTGAGACTCCAACTCAAAAAAAAAAAGGATCTCCAGAACCCAGCAGGCTGAGGCTGTGGTAGCCGTGAACGTGCCACTGCACTCCAGCCTGGTGACAGAGTGAGACCCCAACCCCTCCCCCCCCAAAAAAGCAAACAGTGAGAAACGTGTACTGGGTCTTGTAACAACGCAGAAGTGACAGGGGCAGTCCCTGTATACAAAGATCCATAGTCAAGTTATCAACAGGATTTAGGTGATAACTCATTGATCAGTCACAGCTGCCTTAAACTACACGCTCAGCAGTATCAAGTGCTAGGATCGATTAGCGATGTCTACTACAGGCATCAGCAGGAACTCTGGGGCCTGCATGCCATGTACTGGTTATCTACTCTTGTTTTGGACAAACTGCTTTCACACCCATGATTTCTTTCACGACTGTTGTATGAACCAGGGGAGCACAAACAAGTAGTTACTATGACCTGATGAAAATGAGACCGAGAAGGGGTCTTGGTTGATGTCTCCTACAAGGTAAGGGGAAGGCAGGATAAGACATGGATGTAGGTGCTGTGACCCTCAGTTCTTTTTTCCAAGCTACTACATGGCTATCAGTCCTCCCTCTCAGTGATCCCAGGGGCCAGGTCAGAGGCCACGGATAGAAAAGTCTATGTCAGAACACAAATCCCTAAGCAAAACCTTCCACGGCCACAAATGCAGACTCCTTAGCCTGACACAGAGACTCTGCCTCGGTTTCCTCTCCCTTCTCCTGCACCCTGCCCTGCAGGCCATACAGACCCCTTAAAGCTCAGCAGATAAGCCCTAGACTTTGCACATGAGGATCCCCCCACCAGGGGTGTCTTTTCCCTCTCAATATGGATATGATACTCCTAGTTCTAATTCTCAAAAGCCTTTGAGAAAGCCATCAAAGCATCTCCTCCAGCTGGGGAGACCACCGGTTTTCTGTCCCCTCCCACTCCTTATCTGCAGACTCTCTACCTATGTCAGGCCCCTCTGGCTCACACATTCCAACTGGGTTTGGCATCTTCCCCCCCAGACCATGTTTCCTCCCAGAATCCCCACCCCATTTCCAGTCATCAGGCCTGACCCCTGGCATCATCCTTGCCCATTCCCCCAATCAGGATCAGTGAGATCTCAAGCCCTGCCCTTCCTGCCTCTCCTCATGTCAATCATATTGCTGACCACACCCACTACCAATTACTAGGAAAGTTGCCCCACCCACAATGGAAGCCACAGCTGATTGGAGAGATCCGACCTGGGCAGCAGCCAACCAACAGGCAAGTCATTGATCCCATCTTGCCCTACATGCTAAGCAGAATCAATCAGATTCTCTCCTGAATTTGAACTGTGACAAGGTGCAAGGTTGTAAGCCTGGGTGCTAGAAACACCCAGGTGTGGTATTAATGAGAAACTAATGGGGACTCAGGCTGGGCATGGGGACTTGCCTATAATCCCAGCAATTTGGGAGGCCGAGATGGGAGGATCACTTGAGCCCAGGAGTTTAAGACCAGCCTGAGCAACAAAGTGAGATTTCATCTCTACAAAAAATGAAAAAATTAGCCTATAGTCCTAGCTACTCGGGAAGCTGAGGTGGAAGGATTGTCTGAGCCCACAGTGAGCCATGACTGAGGCTACAGTGAGCCATGATTGTGCTACTACACTCCAGCCTAGACAACAGAGTGAGACACACACACACAAGGGAGTCAGTCACAGGATAGAGGCTGTTGATAGAGTGCTGTTCAGGCCTAATCACCTCCCCAGTCACCTCCCTGTGGGCCAACAGCCCTAGCAGTGCACAGAGCCTAATGTCTTCAATAGCACACATCCATCTTACCCCGACATCCAAAGTCAGACATTCTCTGTCCTCTGCTCACCTTTCCAACCTCAGCGTTCAATGTCCAGTCACTCAATGCCTTGCATCCCTGCATACTGTAAACACACCATGCTTTCCCTCACCACAGGGCCTTTGCACAGGCTGCTTCCTCTGCCTGGATCAAACCTCCATATTCTCCTCCATATAGTAGACTCTTACATGCTTAGAGTAAACATCCTGCTTAATCCTTATGATGATACCACGAACTGGGAG